AGATGATATGATATACTATATAAAGAAAATCCCAAAGACTAAGTAAGAAAATAATTGGATCTAATTGCCCAATTCAGTAAAGTGGCATTAATATATGAAGTATCCATGTATCCACACACAAAAATCAGCCAGATTCCTCTACAAAGAGAACTCTGAAAAGTAAGTAAGGAAGACAATTCCATTTATAACTGTCACCACAAAGATGACATATTTAGGAATAAATCTAATCAAGGATACAAAAGACCTTCAAAGATATCGGTGTCAAACCTAAAATTATAAAGAACATCAAACAAAAAGTTGGGACAAACTTAGGAGCCCTTAACTATGGTATAATTAGAGAACATAAAATATAACTCAAAAAACTTATTTAACAGAGTATAAGATGGATGGTTGGGACCACATAAAATTAATTTCTTGTGTACATTAAAAGAATTACCAAAGAGGGAGAGAGGGAGGGAGGGATGATAAGATGGATGATTTCTTGTGTACATTAAAAGAATTATCAGAGAGGGAGGGAAGGAAGGAAAAACAAAAACAAAAAAACCCCTACAGAATGTGAAGAGGAGGGTAAAAACAATCTACAAAAGGGGAGCTCTGGTGGCCTAGTGGGTAAAGAATTGTGCTGCCAAGCCAAAGGCACTTGGTTCGAATCTACTAGCTACTTTGCAGGAAAAAGATGGGCAATCTCTTCTCAGTCTCCAAAAACTCATGGAAGGGTTAGTTATGAGTTGGTTCTAACTCATTAGTATATAACAACTCCAACCCAGAATGGGGACAAAAAATATTTGGCAATGACACATCTCAGGGGATTAAATTTTAAAACTTAGAGAAAACACTTCAATAAGAAAAAGACAAATAAATCATTTACACAATGGGCAGAGGACAGAAACAGACATTTCACCAAAGAAAACATTGAGAGAGCCAACAAAACATGAAGAAATATGGAGGGTCATTATCTGTTAGAAACAAACCAAAACAGCAGTGAGATCATCTCGCTCAAGTAAAAATGTTGTCATTATTGACCCCCAAGTTGAAACCAACTCAAAGTTGATCCTCTAGCCTATTTCCAGAGGCAATAACTACTGAGGAGACTGTCCATCTTTTCCCACGGAATAGCTGGTGAATTCCAACCATGTGTCTTTAGATTGGCAGTGTAACTCTTTACTATGCAGCCATCAGAGCTCCTTACAAAGAGTAATGTTTAATAAGACATCAATCAACAAATGCTGGTAAGTGTGTGGAGAAATTAGAACTCTCATAACCTACTGGTCAAAGTGGGTAATGGTCCAGCCACCATGGAAAGCAGCTACAGTGCTTTCTTAGAAAGTTGGGAATAGAGATAAACAGCCACCTCACCTCTAGGTATACATCCCAAAGAAATATGAGCTATAACATAAACAACATACTTGCAGAAGGGTGCAAACAACCCAAGCGCTCATCAACAGACAAATGGCTAAAGAAACGGTGGTACAGTCACACAGTAGAGTATCAATGCATCACTGAAAAATGGTCAAGCTTTTTGTGAAATACTGCATAACATGGATAAACTAGAACAAATGATGCTGAATGACATAGGACAGTCACAAAAGGACAATTAAGGACAAACATGACCACTAGTGGAAAGGTTTATCCAGAGATAAACTAGATCTTAGAGGGGCAACAGAATTGAGAAAGGAGGAAGAGAGGAGGAAAAGAAACCCCAGAATTTCTTAAAAATCAACTCTCGCACACGCACGCGTGCGTGCGCACACACACACACACACACACACACAGAGAGAGAGAGAGAGAGAGAGAGAGAGAGAGAGAGAGAGAAAAGAAGTTAGCTGTAAGTAGTCTCCAACTGATAGCTATTTCTAAAGCTGGGAATTTAGCTTTCCAAGTATCAAAGCAGCAGAATACTAAATAAAATACAAAACTCTGAGAAAATAATTATACCTATAATCACACCAGTTGTTAAAAAATGATAAAAGAACAATAAAAGTTGACCTTGAAGCCAGGCTGAGTTGCCATGTTGCTGAACCCACTCTGACTCCCAGTGATACAACTGTCACAGAGCAGATCTGCTCCATGAGGCTGATTTTCCTTGCTGTCATCTTACTAGATGCAGATCACCAGGCCTCTTCTTCAAAAGCACCGTGTGGTGGGTTCTAACTGCTAACTTGTAGTTTAGCAGTTAAGGGAAATCTTTGTTTCTTAATACCAATAAGAACAATTACACTCTTCTAGGCAATTACCACGTCCATTCCTGGGTGATACAAACGAGTATGACACTGATGACCAGCCCAGTGATCTCTGCCCAAATGTTCACCATCATTATGGATCATTTCTACTTTACACACTTGGAGTTGCCATAAATGGAACCAACAGCAACAAACAAGAAAACAAGGATATAATTCTCCTTTTTTGCATTTAACTTAGTACATTCTGTTTTCATGGATAACTTCTTATGAATTCTATGTTTCACCACACTACTTATCAGGAGTGGCATCCATCCACTTCCTAAACAACATGCCTCCAGAAACTCCTATGAACTTTGATAAATGTCGATAGTTGTAGAGGGGCTTCAAGCCTTTTGTTCATAGGGTCGCTATGAGTCGTGCTCGACTCAAAGACAATCACAGTAACAACTTATCAATAAGGGCATTTAATGGAAGTGTGCAGACTATTGAGTTTGAGGTCTATTCACATACCTCCACCATGGAGTGAAGGGTTAAAATTACATAGCTAAAGGCGAGTGCTCTTAGGAAGACAGACTTTGTTTAAATCCCAACAGTTTCTAGTTGGATTCCATTGTATACCTTTCTGATGGAGAGGTTGAGCTTATTTTACAGTATAAGTAAAGCTTTTAGCTCAATATATTTAATATGATATCAGTGGAGTAAGTGATTTTCTGCTTCAAGAATACCTTAGGGCAACATTTTCCAAAAGGAGGGTTAAACACACTCAGAGCAGTAAAATATGAAAAGGGACTGTGGGAAACTGAGCTGTGACACTCAGGTGCGCTGCTATGAGCAGAAGCAACACCCATTTCTCCCAGAACTCATACTATTTTTACCTTTCTATCATAAACTCTGAGTCCACCTTGCCTCCTACAAATCTACTTCTTAAAAGAAAAGAAAATGCTGGGTAAGCATAAAAAAATATTGACAGATGCATACTGTTCTTTGCCTTCTGGCAAGATTAGCTTTATTATTAGTGAAGAAATCAGAGCTGGCTTTATTATTCTTGCTCTTAAAACCCCAGGAGTATGAGGCCCTAAGAGACTCAAAGTAACCAAAACACTGTAAGCCAGAGTCAGACACGTGAATGCTAATTATATTAATTTGTAATGAAAATTATCACTAACACATGAATCAGAAATATATTGTTGTCAACAGTGTAATCTCCCCTTGTGGTCAGGAAGGAAGACATGAAAGCCATGAACTATTATTGAGTCTGAAAAAGATACATGGTGCATATAGAATCAAGAAAATATTAGGAGCAAAGATTTTGTAAATTCCTACCTAACTTAGGAGGAACTGTAGGGCATTATGCTGTACCATAAGGACAAATACTGTATAAAACCAGTATGAGAATTTAAGGGAGTGGAGGTGAAAGCAGAGGGGTAAGGATGTGTGGAGTGGATTATTCATTGGCGGTCCCACAATTTGATGGGGGTGTGTGTGAGGGAAATGGGAAGGATCTGGTATGAAAAACAATGTATTCAGTTTTAGTAAATAAACTACCATATTAAAAAAATAATGTAAAATAAAATATATATGAAGCATTGTATGAAATGTAATGTAAATGAAAGATTGTATAAAACACAATGTATATGAATGAAACATACTATAAAGGTATTATTATATGAAAATCAATTAAAAATATATAAAACAAAAGACAATGTCAAAGGACTACCTAGTGACATCAGACGGAGGCTGCACCACATCCTCTAACAAAGTCATGTGACTTGCTTTATTGTAGTGGTCTAGAAACAAAACCAAAACATCTCTGAGGGGTGCCTGAACTGTTGTCTACCCAGTTCAGGAACTTGCTGCCATTATCTCTCCAATGTCTATTTTAGTCCACATGCATAAATGTTGATACAAAATAGACATTTATAGATATACATATCATAAAATGTTACTATTTCATATTGACAAATGGAGTTGGATTGAAGTGTATCAAATTTGACTGAAGCCAGAGTCTTTAATTCAGTAAGAGAGAGTGTGTGTGTAGGGGTAGTTTTCAGATAGAAAGTCAACCCTAATACAATTATGTTGTGCTTGTTGGAGATGTTGCTAGAGATCTCTGTGGGGTGTAGAGTCTATCCCACTGTTATTATGTACCATTAAGTTGGATCTGACTCAGAATTGACCCTCCAGAGGGTTTTGAGGCTGTAAATCTTATTGAAGATTGCTCATCTTTCTTCCATGGAATAGCTGGTGTCTTTGGGTTGGTGGTAACTCCCTGCCACTGGGCCAACAGAACTCCTACATCTAGGAATTAACCAGCACAAGGGGCAGAAATCACACACACACACACACACACACACACACACACAAAAGCTATTTACAGATGCTAAACGGATTGGCAAAAGAGAAATATGAGATAAAGCCCAGTGTGGGGAGCCGTTGGGAAGTCACTGGGTGCCAAGATTGTGACTCGCAATCCCATCAAATCAAAGATGATCTGTTTTCCTCCTTCTGACATCTTTGTACCTTTTCTCCTTCTACTGACCTACTATAGACAAATTGTCTAACTTAACACTGATCACAGATCCAGCATGCTCCACGAGACCTACTCCCGGGCCAATGTGAGTCTCGATATCTTAGAATTCTCAAAGTACCTTTTGTTCCAGGTATATTCTGTCCTCTGAAGCCCAACGTAACTAATGATCTCCAGGCTTTTCCACCGGCTAAATTCCAAGGAGGCAATCTGGCTACTCCTGCATTTCATCTGGGACTTTGCTCCTTATTGCTTCCTTCTCAAATCACTTAGACATCGCTTTGCATCTCTACGTGGGGCACCCCTACTCTGTCCTGTGCTACCACGCAGCTGTCATCATTACCCCCCATGCCCTACCCTGGCCACACCCGTGGTCTTTGACCCATATCTCCTTCCCAGGGAACTGGGATGCACGGGCCCGGGGCGCACATGCCTGCTCGCTCCCATTCATTCGGCGGCACGGCTGTCATTGGCGCCGTGACCTCTGCGCCCCGGGCCCGGCGCAAGCTGCCCGGCCTTACCTGCGTTCGGGCACCCGCAGGGGAGCGCGACCCGGGCGCCCGCGCACGTCCCGGCAAGCCGGGCCCCGCGCTCCGCTCCGTCAACCTCAGGGAGTTGCAGCGCCGCCACCAGCACGAGGCCATGGTTCGAGTCTGAAAGTCGCGGCAGCGGTGGCAGCTCCGCCTAGGGCGCGGGCGGTCCTCCTCCCGAGACCCGGAGCCGGAAACCTGGCACAGGAAGCGCTTCGTCCCCACCCGGCCCGGGCCCTTCTCCCTCCTCCCTGGGGCTGGGCCTCGGGAGGCGCCGAGCGGAGACTTCAGAGCGCAAAATGTGCTCGTAGCGAGCAGCTCAGGCAGCACGGGCTTGGCCCCTTCCCTCCAGACCAGCCTTCCCGGGAGGAGCTGAGAGTCACTCCGAGTCCTTCCCGGCCTCTCTGAGGATCCACAAAACTATCGCAGTAACAACAAAAATGTACCTTTTGGTGACCAGCTAGTAGCAAAAGAACATCACTGAGCGCCAGGCGCCTGGTCACGGACTCGTTTCCTAAGTGTTACTTAGGCAGAGGCATGAGTCAGAGAATCAGATTGCTGCTTAACTTCTTAATCTGGAGGCTATGTTTCTTTTGTCTTTATCTTTGGGCTGCGACCGACCACGCCAGCGTTTGCTGCCTGTTGCAATCTGTTCTTGAAGCAAGTGCCAACGGCGCGCTTCTTTCCTATAACAAGTCAAAACAGGAGCCGGGCTATTGTGAAAGAGATGCCCGATTAGCCTCCTCTTTCGACTTTTGGACGGTCTCCTCTGAAAATATGATAGGTATATGTGATTTGTGTGATGGTTTGGCAATCTTGCTTACGTCTGTGTTTGTATGACATTTTTAATATTTGGCCACATATGTTGCACCTTCTTGTAGCCACTCAGGTCTTAATGGATAATGTGCAGGATTAGTACACCATATGGATCAGAAAGGCCTTTATGTAGCCAGATCTGTTTTTCTCACGGGAGAGACGATGTATGTATGAAATCTGTGAAATGAGCATTCAACATAGAGCCAGTGCACAAGAGTGTAAGCATTGGATTGCAGAAGTAAAAGATACTGTCTCGAAAAAGTTCACTTTACTGGAAGAAGTAGCTTTGTGATAGGTTCTTCAACAGCTTTTTTTTTTTTTTCATAAAAGAGTAGCTCTATAGCTGAACACATTATTTTTCATATTTTATACATGCAGGTTTTTATTGGAAATGATGCATTGGTATAAAAAAGTTTATTAAAAGAATGTGAATTTAATGGTTTGGGTTTTTTCCCCCGGTCCTGAATACTAGGTTGACAACATGCAGTGTAGAGTGCTTTATGAGTAAAGATCATTAGCTATCATAAAGCCTATAGCCTGGAAATAATAGGAAGCAGTTCATCTCAGTCCTAAGGGGGGACTGGCCCTGAGTGCGAATTGACTTGGTGGCGAGCTACATTTACTTTTTTGGTTTAGGCGAAGAATGAGGGGTAAGTCCCAGGTGTGCAGGTAAGTCACCATAAAACATTCCTTTTGTGCACAGTGTAGAAATGACCTCTCTTTTTAAAATTGCCCTTAATACAAATTAAATAATCAGTTGTGTGGTGTCCAGTCCATTCTGACTTATAGCAACATTATATACAGAATGGAACCTCTCTCCCCATAGGATTTCCTAGATTGTTGTGTTTAAGAGCACATTGCCAAGTTTGGGTTTGTTTTTTTTTTCCCCCCTCCCATGAACCATGGGGGTCCAAACCCACAGTATTACTTATTAAAAAAAAAAAAGAGTAAGTATGAAATGAAAAGTCTTTTCCAATTTTGCCATTTCATGTTGGGAAGTTGGCTGTATACTTCAAGACATTTTCTTGCCGTATTGCCATGTGGTGGCAATGTTTTACAACTAAGAACCAAAGGTCAAGCCCACTGCTGTGGAGTCCTTCCTTACTTGAAGATCCTGCTTCTTTTGGGTTTCCGAGACTGTATGTCTTTACAGGAGTACAAAGTTCGTCTTTCTCCCCATGAAGCAGCTGGTAGATTTGAACTGTTAACCTCTGGTTAGTAGCCCAACACATAACCTATTGTGCCACCCAGCCTCCTTTACATCTAAGTTATTGTTATCGTATGCTGTTGAGCCAATGGTAACTCATAATGGCTTCATGAAAACAGAATTTTGCCCTATCGAGTTCCGTCCTCACCATTTCTGACAGCCTTGAATCCTTTGTTACATTCCCTGTCAGTCCATCTTGTTGAAGGTCTTCCTCTATTACATGGACCCTCCATGTTACCAAGCATGATGTCCTTCTCCAAGAACTGGCCCCTCCTTACAACATGCGAGACACAGTTTCATCAGCCATGTCTCCATGGAAAACCTTGGTTTCACTTTCTTTTCGAGGTATAAAATTTCCTTGTCAATTTCTTACAGCTAAGAGATGATGAAAAATATGAGAATAAGTTAAAAATAATGCTGCTGGGATTCCAGCTTACTCATAAATGGGTTGTTTTTTGTTTTTTTAAAAAATCAAAAAACAAACCCATGTTTAAACAGGTCTCTGATCCATGAATGTGAGAAAAAAGGGATATATACCAAGAGTGTGCATTTCAGCAAGATCAGTCTTTTAAGCAAGATCAAAACTAATGAAGCCTTTCATGCAGTAAATTGTAACCAGTGATGATGCTTGGATTTACCAAGATAATTGAGAAAGCAACATCCAGTCTCAGCAGTGGTTTGTGAGGGAATCTGCTAAGTTACTTAAATTCAGGGTGGAGAAGGTTATTATGACTGCTTCTGGGATACCCAAGAGGTAATCTTGATGCTTTCTCAAAGGACACAGAATGATCACAGGGACTCATTATAAAAAAGTTTGAAAAAAAAATCATTGGTGAGAAACAGGTCAGAGTAGTGCTGAGGAAATTTGTTTCCCCCGTCTTAATAACGTTAAGTGCTCTGCATTCGAGAGTAGCAAAGTCTGTCTTATGAGAATTTAATTGGGAAACCTACCCTACAGCCCTGCTCTTGTCCCTTGAGGTTTCGTTTTTGTCCCCTAAACAGAAAGAATATTTAAAAGGAACATCCTTCAAGGATGCCAAAACTGCCGATTTTTCCCCCTTTTTAAAATTTTATTTAAATTTATTATTTCATTTTTAGTAAAAATTTACAGAGACTTTGGATTTCCATTCATTCATTGTTGCACTTTTGTCCCCTCCCAACTCTCCCCCCTAGTACACTACCCTCTTGGAAAAGTAGAAGAAAAATTCAAAACTGCCGATTTTGATGTGTAAATCAAAAGGGTGCAACCCTTCTTTGGGGAGAGGGTTAAGGAAGTCGAAGCACAGCCTTCAGAAGTGTCTAGACCCAGATGAAGAATATGTCAGGAAACAGTAGCCTCATTTTTATTTAATAAAAGTGTCTCTCATTTTGCAGAGACTTTTTTACTTACCCTCTTGTAATACTTGGTCTGTTACCATGTCTTGGTTCACAGTACTTGGGAAAATATCCTGATGTTAGGTCAACAATCAGTGAATTATTAAGGTAACACTAGTGGAAAGGAGGCTCAACCATAGTTGTATACACGGAAGTTAGCAGATTCTGTCGATTTCAGATTTCATGGCAAATTGTGATTCCTTAAGAATTGGGTTTTGACATGAATTGTTTTTAAATTTTTTATAAAGATTTTTATGGACTTGGTGACAGAAATGAAGCTGGAGATAGAATGATTGAATTTTGCACAACCAATGACTTATTCGTTGCAAATATGTTTTATAAGAAACATAAACACAGGTTATACACATGGATTTCACCTGATGGTATGCATAGGAATCAGATTGATTACATCTGCGGAAAGAACCTCTGGAGAAGCTCAATATTAACTGTGAAAACCAGGCCAGGAGCTGATTGTGGAACAGTCTGCCAACTACTCATATGCAAGTTTAAGCTGAAGCTGAGGGAAATTAAACCAAATCCACGGGAGCCAAAATATGACTTTGAGTTTATCTCACCGGAATTTCAGAACCATCTCAGGAACAGGTTTGAGGTCTTGAACACTAATGAATGAAGACCAAATGAGTTGTGGGAGGATGTCAAAGGTATCATCCAGGAATAGTACAAACAGTCATTACAAAGACAGAAGAGGGAAAAAAAGACCAAAATGGATATCAGAAGAAACTCTGAATATTGTACTGGAACGCAGAGAAGCCAAAGCACAAGGAAGAATTCAAGATACTAAAGAGTTGAACAGAAGATTTCAAAAGGCAGCACGGGGTGACAAAGCAAAATATTACAATGAAATGTGCAAGGTGTTGGAGTCAGAAAATCAAAAGGGCCGAACTCGCTCAGCATTTCTTAAGCTCAAGAAACTGAAGAACAAATTCAAACCTCGAGTTTCTATCATTAAGGATGCTTTGGGCAGAATATTAAATGGTCCAGGAAGTATTAAAAGAAGACAGAAAGAATATACTGAGTTACTGTATCATAAGAAATTGGCAGACACAGAAGAATTTAATGAAATAACATTTGAGCAAGAGCCTATGGTGATGGAGGAAGCTGCTTTGAAGGAAATAGCAAAAAATAAGGCCCCAGGAATAGATGGTATACCAATTGACGTATTTCAGCCAACAGATGCTGCCCTGGATGTGCTCACCAAGTTGTGCTAAGAAATCTGGAGAACAACCACGTGGCCAACTGGCCGGAAGAGATCTATATTTGTTCCTATCCCAAAGAAAGTTGACCCAATAGAGTGTGAAAACTATAGAAGAGTATCATTGATTTCACATGCAAGCAAGATTCTACTGAAGATTATCCAAAAACAACTGGAACAGTACATCAGCAGAGAACTGCCAGAAGTCCA